CGAAATGTTGTGCTCTCCAACTATTTGTTTGAAAGGTTCCTTTATCATGCTCCAAGTGTCGTCCCGGGGCACTGTGGCGCTTGAATAATCCTTTGCCTCTTTGATGCTCCCAAATTCCCGAATCTAAACTTGTATACTGCAAATAACACTATATATACCCAAAAAAAAACACGAAAATGATACATGGAAAGGGCACAATTCACATACGCTCGTGTCACATATTTTGTCCTCATCAAATTAATCTAACTTAAGCATTACTTTGCCTCAAATCATTATATACCTAAAATTAAACTTTTTTTGAATTCACGATAAGGTTTATCTCATGATTATTGTGCTATTTAATATCGTTGGAATATAGCATCAAACACCGTGATGTTGGGGATGGTGATGTTGTGATGCTAGAGTGAGGCGCAGTAGCGCTTGTAAGTTGGCACCGAAATGTTGTGCTCTCCAACTATTTGTTTGAAAGGTTCCTTTATCATGCTCCAAGTGTCGTCCCGGGGCACTGTGGCGCTTGAATAATCCTTTGCCTCTTTGATGCTCCCAAAATCCCAAATCTAAACCTGTATACTGCAAATAACACTATATATATCCAAAAAAAAAACACGAAAATGATACATGGAAAGGGCACAATTCACATACGCTCGTGTCACATATTTTGTCCTCATCAAATTAATCTAACTTAAACATTACTTTGCCTCAAATCATTATATACCTAAAATTAAACTTTTTTTTGAATTCACGATAAGCTTTATCTCATGATTATTGCGCTATTTAATATCGTTGGAATATAGCATCAAACACCGTGATGTTGGGGATGGTGATGTTGTGATGCTAGAGTGAGGCGCAGTAGCGCTTGTAAGTTGGCACCGAAATGTTGTGCTCTCCAACTATTTGTTTGAAAGGTTCCTTTATCATGCTCCAAGTGTCGTCCCGGGGCACTGTGGCGCTTGAATAATCCTTTGCCTCTTTGATGCTCCCAAAATCCCAAATCTAAACTTGTATACTGCAAATAACACTATATATACCCAAAAATAAACACGAAAATGATACATGGAAAGGGCACAATTCACATACCCTCGTGTCACATATTTTGTCCTCATCAAATTAATCTAACTTAAACATTACTTTGCCTCAAATCATTATATACCTAAAATTAAACTTTTTTTGAATTCACGATAAGGTTTATCTCATGATTATTGCGCAATTTAATATTGTAATCGATAGATTCGTTAAGAATGTGCACACATCTTATTAATATTGGATTTTCTTAAAAACCCCTAATATCCTGATATTACTTATTGTAATACTCTTTTATATGATTATTTGTAAATTGCTTAAGTGTGTGTGTCTGTTTGTGCGTGTGTATGTGTACGTATATATATTGTAAAGTAAGGTCAAGAGGTTTTTTTATTCTTTAACTTCTTAGGAAAGTGAATTGCTCTCAATTTTTAAATGATAGATTAATATCAAGCTCTTCCTCAAAGACTTTCATATATTTATCTTTTAAAACTTGAGACTTTTCTATGTGTGTGTGTGTGTGTGTGTGTTTGTGTGCATGTGTTCTTTCTTTTTTTCTTTTGATTTTCTTATCATATATTTCACAAAGGATTACTATACCTTGTTTAAATTTTCTTTTATGATCTTGAATATCGAGTATTTTCCAAGTAAAATAATCAATCACTTCTTAACTTCATTAAAATTATTTATACTTCAAAATATATTAACTATAATTAAATTATTTGGATTGATGGCCATTAACCTTTATATTTTATATAATGGATGAATTAATTTGATATGTAGTAATTTAAATTTAAGTGTTTAAGGATCCTTATACAAAAGTGATTAATTGTAATAAGAGCTCGGTTATTAGTGAGTTAATAATAATTTTAAGGCTTAATGAAGGTTTAAGTTTATTTTTAATTTTATTTACCTATTATTAAATCACTCTGGATCTTCATTAGATCTCTCATTTTATATGAAAGTCTAAAATATAAATATTTATTTTTCTCTTAAGCCATAATTTTTTTCCAAAATTCATCCTCCAATTTTATTTTACACTGATTAAATAAAAATAAAAATAAAACATTAAAGAGGAAAATGCATGGTAGAACGTGGATGTAAATATATAATGGTGAATATTTAAATGTGCTATTAATTTAATTCCCAAATCAAAAGGTGCTCAAAATTCAAATGCTTTTTGTCATTATATCTCCTTACAGTACCTTATATAAGGTTATTGCTAAGTTATAAACTGATAGAATTAAGGTTATTTCTCCTTATTTATTTATTATTCTTATTGTTGTTCTTTCCTTTATAATAGATGCTCAAAATAATTATATCATGCTAAATAGTTTCAAAAAATAAATCATCTTATATGTGTCGAGGATCTTTTATTTTTTGGAGATGTTGCCCCTCCCATTATGTCACATCTCGCCAATATTTTGAATATTTTTAGTAATGCTTCGAATTTAGTTGTGAACTTTTCTAAATCTACTAGTTGCTATTATAAGAATGTTGGTAATATTTTAAAGTATACTTTACGCAACATCAGTGTTATCGATATCAAATATCCACCTTGAAAATAACTCTGTATTAGTACTTTTTATTATAAGCCTAACGTGGTTGATTGTAATATTATTATTAATAAACTTCCTAAATGGTTGGCTTTGGCTAGATGAAAGCACAAAATTCTAACTATGGAAGGTCCTTTTAAATAAATTAACCATACAATTAGAAGTTTTCTTTGATATTGGTTTCGCTCAACTTTGTTACTAAAACGTATTATGAAGAAAATTATTTCTTTTTCTGAGTAACCTTTTTTTCGTGATAATAAAGAAAATAAAATGACCACCATTTCTTGAAAAACTGCTTCTCTTCTTAGAGCTCTTGGAGGCATTCATATTCATTTTCTAGATAAAGATGTGTAAAACTAAGATTATTTGCAGGCATTTCAATTCCAACTCTCTCTTATCCAAGTTGAGTATGAATAATTGTGACCTTATTTGGTATAACTCTATTTCTAAGATCTCAACGATTTGGAAATATCTTATTAAAGTTGTTGTTAAAATTATAATAGATCTTACTTTTTTAGGCGAATACCGATAACCATCTTATATTTTTCTTTGATCATTGGATGAAATGATCATCATCATTTGAGCTTTATGGCAATGTGGTTTTTTATTGGTTTTGTTTTCATAATTTTATTAAAATTAAAGAAGTCACTGTCAATGACTATTGGTTATTTTCTCAAAAATGAAACGTTCTTAATGATTGTTTACTTTTTTACTTAGGACATTCATGTTACTACTGATGGTATAATTTGTTTTGGAAAGAGAAATAATTTTTAATAATAAAATTGTTTATCATATTATTTATTAAGGTTTACCTGTTACATATTAAAATAATTTTTTTTGGAATAAATGCTATACTATTAATTTGGCTTCGTTTTATTGGAGATTTTTTAATTTTAGTCTTAAAACCAATGATATTATTAATTAAGATAGTGTTAATGTTATGCTTAATTACTTTTTTTTTTGTTTTTACGGTTTAGAAATACTTAAACATTTTTTATTTGAATGTTTTTTTCTCATAATTTAATGAAAGTTGGTATCTCAACCAGAGTATTTTTTATTATCTCGAGTAATTTCTTTCAAGTTTTTTTTTTCATCACACTGAGAGTATTAATTGCAAAATTTATAGGATATTCTACCTCTTATCTATTAAAAGTATTGCTTATGAAATTTAGTTTGACAGAAATAATAACTGTTTCAATAATTCTAGTAATTATCTCGAGATTAATATCACGAGAGTTCATTTGAAAATTTTGCAAAAATTAGGAAGTGAAATTTTAAACACAAAATTTCCAACTTTATTAAACCTTCTTATAAATTGCAGTCGTGGATTCTTTCGACTTATTTATTAGCAGTTCTCTCTCTGTCTTTTTTTCTATCTGATGCTTGGAACAGTTTAATGGAATTTGATTCAGATGTTTTGTTTTGCTACAACTTGGTTGTGCTTCAATTCAATTCAATTGCATCAATATATTAAATTTCAACCATTCTTTTGAATTTTGCTATTCATTAGATCTTGGAAGGTAATTTAATCCTGTGCTCAAAGACTTCAATGTATTATATGTCTTTAACTTTAATGCCTGCTTTATATCTCCTGACTTGACTACTATTGCTTCGGTCGTTTTGTTTTAATTTGCCTTTGTTACTTGTTTATGTTCATTCTATTGCATTGTCTGTTTATTTTGCAAGTACAAGTCCTTCTGATCTTCAGAGATTTTGCTCATATGGATTGCCTTTAGTTTGTATTTGGAGTGGATGATGCACTCGTCCATATTTTCTCTTCACACTTCTTAGTTTACTGTTTATAGTTTTTACTTTTTAGAAGTATTTGTTGTTGTTTTAATTATTTTCTTTTCTCTTCAAATTTTGTTGTCTTGTATGGTGGTTACACATTCTATTTTTCTCTTCATTTATAAATTTGGCAGTGATTATGGGTGTAAAGGAATCGAACACGAACGAATAGAGCTTGTGTTTGTGTCAGTTCGTTCTTGTTCGGTTCGTTTGAAATTTAGTTTGTTTGAAATAAACTCATGTTCAAAATTGTCCATGAAGTCACAGTCCGTGTTCGTTTCTTAACGAACGAGCCGAACACGAGCTGTTCACAAATGACAAACCAATTTTACACCCCTAATATTAATATATATAAATAATATATTATATTAATTATATAAATATATAATATATGTATTAGTATATTACTAATATATTATATTAATATATTATTATTATTAATTTATTATATATTATAATTTATAAAATTTTAAATTTTAAAATATCATAATTTTTTTATATATAATTATTTTAAATTATTTAATATTTCGTACAATAACGATTCAAACACGAACGAACGCATCACTGTTCGTGTTTGGTTCATTTAACTAACCGAACGAAAAAAAATTGTTCACGTTTGTCCCATTTACTTATCGAACGAATGAAACACGAACTTATTGATGAACCGAACATGAACTATTTGCAAGCAATGAGTTTTTTTGACAGCCCTAGAAGTGATGTTCCTTTTCTCCCTCTCCCCATAAGGGAAAAAAAATAAAAATAAAAAAGAGCACGAATTTCATTATGTTAAACGCGATGCTTTGCTTCCGCTCTCCCAAAACGCAAGCCAACACCACACATACTTTTTAATATTTTATTTATAAATCTACCATCTTCACCGGTCGTCATATTATTCCACAAGCCCTTTTCCACTTTAACTGCTCTGTTCAGTGGTTCGAACTTTTCTCTCGGCGATGAAAGCTTAATGGCGGCAACTTTACCTTCGTGTGAACTGGTGATCACTTCCTCTCAGTTGAAATCTTTCTCTCTCGGTATATCGGTTTCATTCTAATCTCTCGAAACCACAAGTTTATATTGTTTGGCTAATGATTTCGGTTTCATTTGGTGACCAGGGTTAGTTGGATTGAGTGATCGTATTGATTTTCTGGTACATTCAAAGCATTGAATTGATAAAGCTTCTCCTGCGAAGACGGTGGATTGATTGTAAGCGTCATGATTGCTCCGAGAGTTTTAGAATGAGGTTCTTCCAGTGAACTTGGAAAAATTTGGTCCTTACATGAAATAGCCGAAGTTCTTAAGGCAACTGATGACATTTTCAACATGATTTCTACTATACATGCTCTGTTAATGCTCGCTATAATCGTTTTTGACGGAGTTATTAGCAATGGTGAAAGGCCTGCTGTAGTGAACATTGGTGCTGTTCTAACTTACGAGTCGGCCATAGGTAGAGTCGCAAAGGCTGCGATTGAAGCTGCTGTTCAAGATGTTAATGCGAGCAAGAAAATTCTTAATCACACACGGTTAAATTTGATCATGGAGGATTCAAATTGTAGTGCTTTTATCGGCGCAGTTGCAGGTATTACTTCAGACCTTTTGCGTTTCTTTGTTTATTACTGCAGACATGCAGACATGTAACTACTGTTCTGTTAAGACACCAGCAGCAGCCTTACAGGACATTTATCCAATCATAACTTGTCCATAATTTTTTCGTGCTAGAAAATTCACAGCCGTAGAATAAATATTTAACATCTAGTATTGTACAAAATCTAACACACAAACAAATAATAAAATGAATAGGAGAAAACACCATAATTTTTTATGTGAAAACCTCGGAGAAGAAAGAAATAACAGGGTTTAGCCCAGTTAAAATGCTTCACCGTAAGCTCGTAAATATAAAAATAAACTCTTATCCCATAACCATGAAAGGCTTACAAGTTTTCTCCGAATATAATGTTTGAATATAAAAAAAATTCACTATATAAAGATCGAGAGGAGTTGATGCTGGAAGTTATCGCCGGGTGTTTGATACAGTACATCATTGCGTAGTATGTAGAAGATTGCTTTACTACGTTTGCAAAAGTGTCAATAGAATATTTTGTTACTCTGTGATGTTCCTTGTTACTTTGCAAGATACTTTGTTACCGCACAATGTGCGTCGTTACTTTGCAGGATACTTCATTAATTCACAATGTGCGTTGTTACTCCATATGGTACTTTGTTACTCTGCAAAGTCCAGTAATGGCGACAAGCAGTGGACAACCAGCGTTAGTTGATGATGGCCGATGAGTTGCAGTCGACGGATATGAAGGTTGGGAGTTATCGCGGGTTTTTGGTTTAAAATAACACTGGAAATTAACTCATTTTTCTCCTTCTCCTCCCCTTCAAGTGAAGTGAGAGGGTTTATTTATAGGCCTCAGTGGATGTCCATTTTTATTATTTGACGAATAACCACTATAATTCCGATCGAATTACCCACGTTAATTCACTTGGATCATAAAAGATTTTTGATGATCTAGTGACCTTAATGACCTAGAAATCAAGTGGTATTGGGCTCCCAGAATTCCTCTTTTAGAGTCACTCGATTTAGTTAGATGCATGCCAAATTTGAGGTTCATTTGACCCTCTAAATAAAGAAGCAAAACCTTCCAGAAATGGTTTAACAAATTGATTCGATGTTGATTTGACTCATATTGAATTATTTTTTGTATCATTGGGTTCGGCTTGTCGAGCTAGTCAATTTGCCGCAATTGGAGCGCTTGATGAGTTTAATTTGAATCAAAATATTTTTTGCTAAAATATCTTGAGATCCATACCAACTGTCTTGTGATTCGTGCTAAATGATAAATTTAGTTGATGACGTATCAACTGACCCATACTTTCAGACATTGGTATTTGTATCTTTCAAAAATATAAGTCGCCGTGAAAGTCTCCGTCATTATTTTAGATCCCCTAAAAAATTATACACTGGATTGAAATTACTAATATCTAATATTCATGCTTTGTGGAACTTCGAAAATGTTAAAATTAAATCCATAATGAAGAAAAAAGATGAAGCAATCACACTTTTGAAAGATACTGAATCATAAAGTTGCTAAATATTTTGGCGGGATTTGAACGATGGCTAGTCGAAGTTTTGATGTGTACATATGCATATTAGGCACATGTGTATTCATATGCGAGCAAATAAGCATAAATATGTGTTAAGATGTAATGAGATCTACAGACGAGTATAAATGCAAGTTGGGGGGCACAATGCTTGTGGGGGTTAAAATGAGCACGAGCATGAGCGAGTGCTTGCGTGGGAGCTAAGAGCAGTAGATAGCGATGATGGTGGTCTGACAACGGTTGCGTTATTGTAAACTGGCTTAAAGGCAGAGTGACTGTAGGCTGGTAGACGACATTCTGTGGTGGTGCGCACGTGGTTGGCATAGGTCGCCAATTGCGGTAAGTCGAATCTGGCCGAACTATCGTCGATGGTGGTTGTGCGTGCCGCGATGGACCAGGTTGGGTCCATGGACATAGGATAGAGCAACCCAGGTTGGGCTAAGGCTCAAAAGGAAAGGGAGAAGGCACATTTCCCTTCTAAAATGTCTGGAATCCATTGGGGTTCTGTTGTGCCTCATTTAGCGCTGGTGTTGCGCAACCCTTAGAGTTCCTTTGGGCTGTTGTTATGCCTTCTTCTGCATTGGTGTAACACAACTCTTAGAGTTTTTTGGCCTGATGTTGTGTCTCCTTCAGCGCTGGTGTAGTGCAACCCCCGAAGTCTTTTTTGCATTGTTGTTGTGTTTTTTGGAGGAGATTTTTTATTCTTTGAGATGTTGATGTTAAAGGAATACCTTCCCCCCAAAAAATCAAAAGAAATAATCTTGACGCTTACAGAGGATGACCTGTTATAGTTTAGGAAAAAAATTCACTCTGTGAATGATATGGTTGTAAAATTACCATCTCCGACTGATCAAGCCCATTCCACCCCCTCCCTTTTAGGATATGTTGCAATTTATGAGGCAACTTTGCAATTCGAACTGTGGTTTCCACTGGTATCTGAGTTGATGGAGATTTTAAAAGCTACTTGGGTTAGTGTTGCATAATTTATGTGTTGGACATTGACAATCGTTATTGAACTGTTTGTTTTCTTTAGAAAATGGGGGGCTAGGTTAATGTCCGAAATACTAGCTAAACTTGGCAAGTTTGCTGGTGACTTGCACCAATGGATTTTTTTCAGGAGCAATGCATTAGATCTTCGCACACAGGATCAAATACGGTACTGGTTTGTCAGTTTTTTTTTTTTGTGAAAAATACTTGAGGATTTCACAAGAGCCGGGGGAAGCTACAACAATTGCTAACTTTTCTCAAGATCACAGTATATGAGATACTACAAATGCTGGAATCTTAGACCCATAGATCTTTAGTTCGAGGTACAAAATATCAAGAACTTTGCGACCGAGGAATTTCTGTTTATTACATACATTCTATTTGTCTTGGGTGATTTTTTTGTGACGATGTTGAAGAAATCCTAGAAAAGCATCTCAAATCGGCTCGTGTTGCACCTCCGAAGCTGCCTTTGCGGAACAATGACTGTGAGATCCTTCATCAAGAGCGGTGTAAGAGGAGCGAAGGAGCGAAAACCCCGCGACCAGTCCTTCAAAAATCCATATTCATGAAAGTGTACTAAATCATTCATGCTCCATATATTATCAAACTAAAGAATTTTTAAGCTTTCTTTTCATGCATTAAGTTTCTCTGCTTTGTATCTCTTTCATCTTTCTGACACAGCTATTTATTTCTGATGGTGAAAAAAATGAAACTTGAAGCCAGGTTCAATATTTCTTTGATTGACTGAAACTCTGAATTCATTGATACACCAAAAAATATTCAATTTTACATATATATTTAAGGCTTATATTCGGTGATATTACACTTAAAAAAATGTATTTTCGTATTTTATTGCAGGTATACTAAGTCTAGGCATTTGAACCTCAAAGGATGCAAAAACTACGAAATTAGGAAATAAAAGTGATATATTCAAAAAAATTGAACTAGTGCCTAGGCGCCAGAATACAGAGAAGACGGCGCTTAGGCGCCAAAGATGATTATTTTCACAAATACTAAGTCTAGGCATTTGGAGCTCAAAGGATGCAAAAAGTATGAAATTAGGAGTCAAAAGTGACATTTTCAAAAAAATTGAATTGGCGCCTAGGCGCTAGAATACAGAGAAAACGGCGCCTAGGCGTCAGAGATGATTATTTTCACAAATGCATTGAATTTGAACGGATTTGGAAGAGGTGCCTATGGAGACTCTTGGGAAATTCATCCCTACATTATAAAAGAGTGTTTTTATGTCAGAAAAAGAAAGTTTTTGGAGAGTGTGAGTGAAGGGGGTGTGAGTTCAAAATTGCGGGAGATTGTGACAAGTATCTCTAAGAGTTGTAAGAGGAGAGAGAAAGTTAGAAATTTCTTATTCCTTACATTTCTACGAGAGATTTGAGTGTTATTGTAAAGAGAAAAAGAGATTCAAATGACAAAGTATTTTCTTAGGGAAGAGATCGAGTTAAGTTGTTTTACTTTTCTTTATTGTTTTGTAAATTTATTTTTTTATATAAAATCTATGTTTTGTTGTATCTTTCTCATGAATTTTGAGTAGATTTCTCTGATCTTCTCATTACAAAGAGAAATAGTCATGTGAAGAATCAAAATTGTTGCGTAATGTTTTAATTTCATATTTGTGATGATTCAAACTTCGAACTTTATTTATTTTTCGATCTGATCAATTGAATTGTTAAAATTTATTGTAAAACATATGATCCGAGAGAGCAATGCGTTCTTCAACAATTTAAAAATCACATTCGATTTCATGAATGAAAATGTAGTCCATAGGGTTGAGTATAAATAAATAGATAAATATTCATTGATAGGTGTAGAATTGAAGATTTTAGGGTGACAGACTAAAATCTTCAATTTGGTCAAGACGTTTAGAAACTAAAGCAAGATGTTAGCCCTCAGACGAGGGGAACGTGGGAAATCTAAAGTGAGAGCCAATATCTTCCCAGCTTAACTACAGATTTAGGGACTAAACACTGAATTAACCAATATTCTTTATCGCTTGTAAAGAAGATAAATAATATGATTGCTCTTATTTGATACAATACAATTTTTTTCAATTTTATAATTCACTGAATATAATATCGTTGTAAGCGGAAGGATACTTTCTTAGATTTGAACTTCTCATTACAAAATCTAGTTTAGTTTTAGTAAATTTAACTTAGAAGTTTAGAGATTTGTGTAGTAAACGTAGTTTCTTTAGTGACATTAAACACATTTCGACCTGTTTTCTTACTTAAGTTTTCTATAGTTTAAATATTGTGTTTTTGCGTGATTTTCCTAACAAATTTTTACCTCCCTGTGGGATCGATATTTATGAATTTATTAGAGCTCTATATTACTTGAGCGATACGTATACTTGCGTTTGGAACCTAATGACGATTTGAAATTAAAGTACAATTTAATTCACTGGGTGTGATAGATTTAGATATTTTAAAACAGAAAACTTATTATACTGAAGTAAATTTTATTGTGGTTAATTTGCATATTTTTGAGTATATCTGCCTTATGTGTTGTGTTGTTGAAAAACGTTTATAGAACATAATAAAAAACATGCATCAAGTTTTTGGCGCCGTTGTCGGGGAGGCTACGGTAAATTACTTAAAAGTCTTTGCTTGAACTATAAATCTTATTTAAAAAAAACAATAAAAAAATATAAATAAATAACAAGAATATATATACGTTCTCATGTGAGTGCTTATTTTTATAATTGTTACTTGTATTTGTGTATGCGAAGATTAGGATCCGAAGGGTTTGCAATTATGAAAATGAAATTAACAAAATTTTTCTGATGAACATCTATACACTATTAATGAATGACATATGTCATGGTATGCGGACATGGTGAATTTTATTGTTAATGATCTTTTACCATATGGATCGACAACGCAACAAAAGAAAAAATTTATTCTTGATGTAAAATTTTACTTTTTGGATGACTTATATTTATATAAGCAATGTAAAGATCAAGTTATTCGAAGATGTGTACTATATGAAAAAACTGAAAAAATTATTAAAAAAATATCATAATTCTGAATTTGGGGGACATTTTGGAATTGGTACAATCTAGATTTTATTGACCTATTCTATTTAGGGATGTTAATACATGTAAAAAAACATGCGATCGATGTCAGCGAGTAGGAAATATTTCAAAAAAAATGAAATACCCCAAAATTTTACATTGGAAGCTGAAATTTTTTATGTTTGAGGATTATGTTTAATGGGACCATTTGTACTCTCTTTCAAAAATTTGTATATATTAATTGCAGTATACTATATTTCCAAATGAATCGAAGCAGTTGCTTTACATCGATGTGATGCTCGGAGTGTTTTAAAATTTTTAATGAAAAATATTTTTACAAGATATGAAATGCCTAAAACAATCATTACAAATAAAAATCTCATTTTATAAATGAAAGAATTGAAAAATTGGTTGGAAAATATGATTTAGAGCGTAAGATCTTCACTGTTTGTCATCCACAGACTAGTGGTCTAGCAGAATTATCTAACCGTGAAATTAAAAGAATCTTGGAAAAGACTATAAATCCTAACAAAATAGATTGGTCAACTTGTTTGGATACTACATTATGGACTTACATAACAACTTATAAAACTCCTATAGATTGGTCAGCTAGTTTGGATATGACATTATGGAATCATGTGAAGTGGGATGAATCAACTAAGGAAACAAATCGAGGAGATTGAACGCACATGCGGTGTGATTCAGGCTAAAGGTGAGCTAAGAGTGTATACACAGAGGAATGAGCAAGCTGAAGGAACAGAGTCTGCACCGCTAACAAGTCCCTTGTCCTGGTCTTCCTTAACTCTTGAGACACTTACACCATCCACATTTGATTCAAATCTTCAAGGTGATATTATTCCTCTTCCGCCCACTCCTCCCCTTCCAACGTTAAGGAGGACCTCCTGCAGCAATGCAGGACATCCTTCTGATTGTTTTGTGTGGGAACTTGACATTGCGAACTTTATTTCTTATTCTAATATTTCACCTTTGCATGGTGCATTCATTGCGTCATTGGACTTTCTCTCTATACCCAACTGTTAGTAGGTTGTTAAAGAGGATCCCATGTTGAAGTGGTGATTCATGAAGAGCTTGGAGCTCTTGATAAAAATTGAACTTGGGAGATTGTGCCACTGCCAGCAGGGAAGAAGACAGTTGGATGCAATTGGATTTTCATGGTAAAACAACTCCAGAAGGGATGGTAGAGAGGTACAAAACACTAGTGGCAAAATAATACAGTCAAACGTATGGTATTGACTACGATGAAACCGTTGCACCAGTTGCAAAGATAAGTACGATAAGTTAGCAGTGAATGGTGGATGGAGACTCCACCAACTGGATGCGAATAATTCTTTTGTTCATGGAGAGTTACTAGAGGAGGTATATATGGAGATACTGCTAGGATTTAGTAGTCTTAGGAAGTTATTGTATGACTTTGAGCAATCTCCATGAGCCTGATTTGATAAGTTTAGAATATCTATAATTGACATGGATAATCGGCAGATCAATGCATACCACACCGTGTTCTTTTAACAACACGAATGTTACACTACCATACTTGTTGTGCATGTGGATGATATAATTACACTGATGATAATGAGACAAAGATTGTTCAACTGAAGGGAAGATCGAGGAAGCAATTTGAGGTTAAGTATCTGGGACAACTCAAATACTTTCTTGAGATTGAAGTGATCCATGGACCTTAGGGGACCGTCCTATCGCAAAAAAAGTATGTACTGGATTTTCTCATGGAAACATGTATGCGGGGGGTGCAAACCTGCATTCTATCCAATTGATCAGAAGGTCGAGCTCAGTACAGAGGCAAACAAATCAGTTGATCGTGAGACGTACCAGAGGCTGGTGGGCCACTTGATTTATCTGTGCCACAGTCAACCTGATATCTATTTTGCAGTAAGTGTGGTGAGCCGCTACATGCATGACCCAAGGAAGGGCCATATGGATGCACTGTATCAGATTCTAAGGTTTATGAAGAAAGAGTTGATATTAAGAAAGAATGGGCATGTCAATATTGAGGGCTTTTGTGATTCTGACTGGGCTAGTTGTGCTGATGACAAACAATCCACATCAGGATACTGTATGTTTGTAGGTGGTAACTTGATCTCGTGGAAGAGCAAGAAACAGTCAATTGTAGCAAGATCAACAACAGAGACAAAATACGAGGCCATGACATTAGGAGTTGCTGAGATGATGTGGCTGAAAGCCTTGGTGGTTGAACTCAAAGTGGATCAGGGAACTCAAATGAAGTTGTGGTGTGACAACAAATCGACAATCAACATTGCTAACAACCCGATGCAACACGATAAAACTAAACAGAGGGAGATTAAAAGATTCTTCATCAAAGAGATGCTGAATATCAAATTTTTGGAACTAATTCATGTAGCTAATTGAGAGCAGGTGGCCGATTGCCTCACTAAATGACTTAGTTCAGTGGAGTTAGTTAGATTATGTGACAAGATGGGTTTAGTGAATATCTTTCGCCTATCTTGAGGAGGAGCGTTGTGAGTTGTGTAATTAGATGATTTTATTGGATTTATTTGTTAAACATTGTAACACCTATTCAAACACATATGCTGAATGAAGTAGTATTTTTTATATCAAATATTTCTTCAGGGTGCTTTGCTTTCCAAGAACATTTTCACACATCTCCAATTTATAACAAGTGGCTGATATTTTATCAAAGCTCTAGGCTCTTTATCTTTCTCTCGTTTATGTGATAGGCCTGAGTTGATGTATGTAATTTGCTCCAATTTGAGGGGGAATAATAGCATAAAATTATATTAATTTTTAATGTTATTTATATCTGGAGAGCGGTGTAGGTTATTTTGGCATAACCTAAAAATTGTATTTAGTTCTCGATTACAAATATGGAGAATTTTTAGTGAACATTCAATCCCAATTTTCTTCTTAAATGATTCCATTGGAAGTTTAGACTTCTAGCCTTTCATACAGTCCAATTCTTTATACTTCTTTTGTAATTCCATCTTCATACACTCAATCTGTTATAGATAATCCATATTCTATAATTTCATGGGAAGTAACATTTTAGATAAATATGGTGCTTCCTCAAACTATTTTTATTTTTGTAAATTTTATGAACTTGAAGTGTGCACGTTTAACAAAATCGGAAAGCAATGGTAAGGTTGAATATTATCCATAAATAAAGATTTTCATATCATATTTAATACTTACATTTTATTGTAGATTTTCTCGATAGGCTATATTATCATTTCTACGATTGGATTATATATTAGTTATATTGTGAGAGCCCTGAAAGTATCGTGAAGTTCAGTTTTGAATATTAAGGTACATTTTAAGGTGCATGTTAAGGCATGCATGGCTTTGATTTTGTTTAAATTGAATAATTAAAAAATATGTTGGTGTAGAAATATCGAATAGTAGGCCATCACTCATATATGTAAGCTTTTGGGTTAAAAATGTGTTTCAACGTTATTATATCTTGCTCAATTTTGATTTTTCTTTTGTTTATCCTCCTCAACAAATGATATCAAAACTGATGATTTGGTTGGATTAAGTAATTTGTATGTTTGGGAGCTTGTATTGGTCTTTAGCTGGCTCAACATGTCCGAGCACGAGCACGAGAGAAGCTCATAGTGTCTTCACATGTTTTTCATATGAGCTTCCGTTCGAAGTGGAGTGATGAATGATGCAAAATGCTCTCTCATGAGATGGATTGTTAAGGCCTTTTAGCTTTAGATTTAGTTCTACATCAATGAATCGATAAATACGTTGGCTTAGAAATATCAAGTAGTTGATTTTCACCCATAGGCACAAATTTTTTATTGAAAATTGATTTTGACCACTACTTTATCCAACTCTAGTTCCCTTTGATTCATTCTCTTCAACAATGCCTTTTGGTATAACAATTAAAATTTCATTAGGAACTCTAAAGTTTAATGTGCTCATGCTGGAGTACTCCTTGGATGTTAATCTCTTAAAAAGCCGCACTAAGGAGGACAAAAAGGTGAATCTTGTGAGCCCAAGATTGATGAAAGCTCAATTTGATCAAAGTTTGTGTTGTTATACATATCACCTCAACAATTGTATTTATATAATAATTGCTTGCAGCAGATATGCTATTTAATATACTTTTATAGCAACTTCTTTGTATTTTAATCAACTTTTATAGACCCCTGTTGTTTTTTTGCAGCCTTGAAGGTCCTTGACAAAGATGTGATAACTATTATAGGGCCACAATCCTCAACAATAGCGCATATGCTTTCATACATATCGAATGGATTTCGCATACCACTCGTATCCTTCGCAGCTACAGATCCAAGCCTATCTTCCCTTCAGTATCCCTACTTCATTCGTATGACCCAAAGCGATTCATATCAGATGGCTGCCATGGCAGATCTGATCGAATACCATAGGTGGAAACTGGTTATTGCAGTATTCGTCGACGATGATTATGGGAGGAACGGAATATATGCTTTAGATGATGAGCTTAATAACAGAAGGTTAAAAATTTCATATAAAATTGTGTTGCCAATCGGAGCTTCTCGGAATAAAATTTCAGAGTTGCTCGAAAATTCTAAATCGTTTGGCCCCAGAGTTTATGTAGTCCATGCTTCGCCAGATTCTGGACTCAAAATTTTTCATGCAGCCCATGAGCTTCAAATGCTGGCGGATGAATTTATTTGGTTTGCTACGGATTGGCTCACCACCACTTTAGATACATTTGAGTTGAGCAAAACTTACTCGTTGAATTACCTGCAAGGCGTGGTAGGCTTACGACAGTACATTCCGCCGTCTCGCCAAAAGAAAGCATTCAAACCCGAATGGAATAAATTAAATGCCGGAGTTCCAAGTTCCAAGATGAATGCATATGGTTTTTACGCCTATGATACGGTATGGGCTGTTGCCCATGCCATCAATGACTTCCTTGACAATTCTGGGAATATTACGTTTACCTCGAGTGATCAAATCAGCGATAACAGAGGACAGATGAGAATCAACATGATGAAAACCTTTGACGGTGGCGAGTTGTTACGACAAAAATTGTTGCACCAGAATTTTAGTGGTTTGTCTGGGCCAATCCGCTTTGATGGCGACCGAAACCTCATTAGTGGGAACTACGAAATCATCAATATTTATGGCTCAGTCATGAATACCGTTGGCTATTGGACGAACTTGACACACCTCTCCCTTTCTTTCCCAGATGCTTCACAGACAAATGGCCAGCGAAATCTTAGTTCAAGTAAGGTTCTTGGTAACATTACATGGCCTGGTGGGAAGACAATGGCACCCCGTGGTTGGATTCCTTCGACTCATGCAAGGCCTCTAAGAATTGGAGTTCCTCGTAGATTGAGTTTTGTTCAGTTTGTGAATATTTCGATGGATAACCGTACTTTACAAGGATATTGCATTGATGTCTTTCGTGAAGTGCTGAAACAACTTCCTTACGAAGTTCCATATCAGTTTGTACCATTTGGCGATGGCCGTAGCACTCCCATATACTGGTCACTTGTGAATATGGTGGCTGATAATGTGAGTATTGTACTGCTTCAGGAGTTTTACAATTTTATTTTGGAAGATTTACATACAGACCACACAACTTTTTTGTGTTTATATATCTAACTAAAGTTTGATATTTCCATTTATAACACTTTGGTGTTAAAACTTATGGATGAAAAGACGTGTTTCACTTTTGAAAAATTAGTAATAGTGATATTTTTTATATATTGTCAAAAATTTGAGTGGCATATTGGCATGTATGTAAATATGAAAATTCAGGTTAGATATGTAAGTATATAAGAATTGTGTGATATGTAAGTAAATGGCCATTTTATTGTTTCATTTCTTCTTTTAAGTCGTTATTGAGTCCCTTTCTATGAAATACATATTAGGAAATTGACGCACTGGTGGGAGACTTTTCGATAGTCCTGAATCGTACAAAGCTTGTGGACTTCACTCAGCCTTATATTTCAACCGCCCTAGTCGTCGTGGTTCCTACAAAGAGTACAAAGTCCAGTGCCTGGGTTTTCCTTAGGCCTTTTACTGTTGGAATGTGGTGTGTGACTGGAGCTTTCTTCTTTTTAATTGGGATTGTGATCTGGATGCTAGAGCATCGAGTTAATAAGGATTTTCGAGGTTCGCCTAAGCAGCAGTGCTTGACTATGTTCTTGTAAGACCTCTGAAATTTTTGAATAGCTTAAATTTTTTCACTGCATTAAACATGTGAAATATATAAAAATTATTGTCATTATTTCATGTACCAACTCACCTACTGGTTCACTGGAATATGAACATCTTTAAGACCATAGCAGTCAGCCATGTTCATAAGGCACAAATGTACGTAAACATAATTACACACCATTAACAATGATACATCATCAAATCTATAATCTTCAAAGAAGAGATCTTTTTTTGGAAAATTTACATACATACCACTCAATTCCTATGTATTTACATATCTAACAACTAAACTTCAATTTCTTACATACATGTCACCTTACCCATGCATGAAAAGTTGTATGTCACTTTTAAAAGGTTTAAATGGTGATACTTTTGGTGTAATATGAAAGCTTTGGTTGCTATAAATGTAAAAAGTAATGTTTGGGTGTCAGATATGTAAATACATAGGAATTGGGAGGTATGTATGTGAATGCCCCCTTTTTATTCTGTCCACCCCAAAGTCGGCAGCATAGAATTTATAATGGCATGGGTGAGGTTTGAACCAAGTTCTTAGCGACAATTTTCAAAACCTTTACCAATGCTGGGCTATTCATTTCACATTAGCGTTGGAAAATGGAAAGCATGTAATTATCCACGTGATTTGGGATATAAAAACATTCTAATTGAGAATTTGATAGATTCCAAGATGTAAATGAATTATTATTTTGTGATGATTACAATAGATGGATTGCTAGCTATTTAAGGGAGTTATTAGCGGTTACTCATGTATAACATTGTTATAGAAACATAGTAGTGGTTTTTTTAATCATTGTTATGGTTAGATTGTGTTCAGTATGACGTAGCGTGTGCTTGTTTGAATCATGTAAATAGCTTCTCTGTATTGCAGTGTTATTGTCGAGTTATCAACCCTCGACATCATGCATTGGGCGGATGCACTATGTACTTTTTTGCTATGAGTATTGTAAAATCCTAAATGTAGAGGGTTGGAAAATTCGATCGACACCAGTCTTATTTTTTATTTAGATTAGTTCATATTGTTTTATTTTTTGCTAATCTTTCCTTTCCTGCATTATGTGTAGACTAGTGATGGCACTCATCACTAATGTTTTTCTGGACTATATCGATTTATCAAAAAGCAAAGGCTTCATTATTGACTTTCTCTTACGTTTGCTATCTTATCAAGTTGTACAATTCCGAGCTCATTGAAACCATTTAATAATCTCATATTGAGAAAAGTTATATCAGGAAGCGAATAGTTTAACGGTGAAACAATCTATAAGAAGCATGGGATACTGGTTAGAGTTGCAATTCCCATTAAGAAATCCACAATAGAATGTTTATCGAAGTAAATTTAGTCGAGGAATAACTTTTTGAAGAAAAAGTCTTTCTTTAGAAGTTATGTTTTACAAGTTTATTGTTGTATAGAATTGAAATGATTTTGCTAAAAAACTTAATCAAACCATGGAAGAATTGGGCTAATATAGAGCATTACAAATTTCTTTACAAATAAAACCCTTGACTTCTTCTGTTTTTTCTATTTACATATAAAACCATAAACTATATACAATTCTCAGCACTACCCCTTAAGATGGGCAAAAGATGTCCACTAATCCCATCTTGCTAAACAACTTGGATAGATCTAATGAGCTAAGTCCTTGGTGAGGTAGTCAACTACTTACTCTCTAATAGATACATGAATTATCTCCAGTAGTCTACTATTTAGCTTCTCCCCGATGAAGAACTTATCAATCTCCACATGCTTGGTTCTTTTGTTCTGCACCGAGTTGTTGGCAATATTGATTGCTGAGTTGTTGTCGCACCACAACTTCATTTGAGCTTCTTGGTCCACCTTGATCTCTACAGATAGAGTTCTCAGCCATAACATCTCGGGAACTCCTTAGACCATGACCTTGTACTCTGCCTCGTTGACCTCGCAACTACTGACTGTTTTTTGGTCTCTTAAGGGATCAAATTGCCCCCTACGAACATGCAGTATCTTTACGTGGATCTTCTGTCATCAACACAACGAGCTTAATCTGTCATAATAACTCTAAATGCCTGAATGCCCATTTTTCTTGAGATCAATCTCTTCCTTGGTGCACTCTTCAGTTATCTCATAACCTGATACATTGCATTCATGTGGCTTTTCCTCGGATCATGTATGTAACGACTCATCACACTTACTTCAAATGATATGTCAGGAATAGCGCGACTCAGATAGATGAGATGACCTAGTAATCTCTGTTACCTCTCACAATAAACTGGCTCTCCTGCCTCTGTGCTCAAGTTTTCTTTCTGATCAATTTGTGTAACTGCAGGCTTGCATCCCAACATGCCTATCTCTGTGAGCAAGTCTAGCACATACTTCCTCTGTGATAGAACAATCCCATCTGTTCCACGAGCCACCTCAATCCCAAAGAAGTATCTAAGCTATCTCAGGTCCTTCACCTCAAATTCTTATCTCAGAATTGCGTTCAGCTGAGCAATCTCTCTCTCATCATAACCATTAACAATCATATTATCCACATACACAAAAAATAATATTGTGACTGCCATGTCATCGAAAGAACACTGTGTGGTCGAAATTAATCTGTCGATAGCGCATGCCTACCATTGCTTCTCTGAACCTGTCAAACTAAGCTCGAGGAGACTATTCAAACAGTACAGTGACTTCCTCAGTCTAAATACCTTGCACTCTATTTGGTTTGTGTTAAAAGCCTAAGGTATCTCCATGTACACCTCGTCTAACAAATCCCTATGAAGAAATGTATTCTTCACACCCAATTGGTGTAACATCTATCCACTATTCACGGCCAGAGAGACGAGTGTCCTGACTGTGCTCATCTTTGATACTGGTGCAAATGTCTCATCATAGTTGATATCATACGTCTGACTATTCCCTTTCGCTACTAATCATATTTTGTAGCGATCAGTCATTCTTTCTGGGGTCTGCTTCACTATGAGACACATTTGCACATGAATGTCTTTTTTCCTATTGACAGTAATGTGAGCTCCCACGTCTTGTTCTTATCAAGGGCACCGAGTTCCTCCAACATGTTAGTCTTCCACTTTGGATCCTCCTTATCTACCTGCCAACACTTGGGTATAGTGACAGTTTCCAAAGATGGAATAAATGTTTCATATACAAGTGATATGTTAGAGTATGAGACAAATTGAGCAATGTAATGTGAGAAACCAAACGGAAGAATGACCCACGTTGCCGCAAAGGTTCTCCTTAAAGTCATGGGAGTGGGAGAAGAAGAGAGATGAATCATATCACCTGTGTAATCGAATTCCGGGGTGGATGGTGTAGGTGCCTCTTGTGACCGGGACACGAGACTTGTTGGCACGAGTGGCACGACAAACACTGTTCCCTCCTTTTGCTTCCTCCTTGTATTCATCCTCGGGTCTCCTTGAGCTCGAGCACCGCCACCTTTGGGTTCATTTTTCTTAAGGATTGACTTTTCGTCATTCGATCCTTCCCACACAATGGGATTAGGCCTCATTCCCACATGTACCAATCTTTCACTATCACTATGTCCTCCTCTCGCCTCATAAGTCATACCTCCATTATCTGAATAGTCACCAAAGGGCAAAGTCATCTCCAAGGAGTAGTATGTTTGATTTCTCTAAAAGTCACATGTATACTCATAAACAGTTTCTGCTCTATTGAGCTCTAACAAACATAATCTTTTTGAGTAGCAAAATAACCCACAAAAATACACTTTTTAGCTCTGAGATCTTGCTTCCTTATTGATGGTATATTGTCCTTCATGAAACATACAGAACCAAACACCTTCAATGGGAGGATCCCACCATTATCTCCTTTCAACTGCTAACAAGGAGATTGTCACCCCAACACTCGTGAAGGCATTTTGTTGATTAATTGAGAGACCTTCAAAACTATTTGCCCCCACAGGTGTTTGGGACATTCATCGAGATCATCATGTTTCGGGCTACCTCTAGAAGGTTTTCTATTTTTCCTTTCTGCTACTTCATTTTATGCCGGTGTATATAGATAAGTGGTTTGATGCTGTATACTCTAGGCTGACATGTACTCCCCAAACACCTTTTTGGTATAGTCGTATTATCAGACATCAATATCTTCACTACTGCATCGTATTAAGTCTGAATTACCCTTTGAAATTTTTTAAAGCAGACAAACACATTAATTTTATTTCTCATTAGATATAATAAAGTAATACGAGAAAAATAATTAATGAAAGTCACAAAATTTCTATAGCTATTCATCAAAGTTATAGAACAAGGACTCCAGACATCTGAATGCACCAAATATAAAATACAAGAACTCCTATTACCAGAACTAATATAAGGGTTCTTGGTATGTTTACCGAACTCATATGCATCACACATTAGTTTTTGTTTATTTTCTTTCTCATATAAAGACAGATACAAACGACTCAAAAGACTAAATGAAGAGTGTCTCATGCGTCTCTGATGTAACAACATTACATCCTCCACTGTTCTCCCAGATACTCCTACTCCATCACGTTCTACCATCGATGTTAGTGTCGAGTCTATCCCCTCTCTATCAAAGTACCAGAGTCCACTATTCCATGTACCAGTCCCAAGTTTCTAGCCAGTCCCCTTCGCTTGAAAGAACACCTTGGGAATATCAAATGAAAAAATACATTCTAGTTGGAGAATAATGATATTAATGGATAAAGGGTTCATTGGAAAGGAATGAGCATGCAAAACATTGAATTAAGTCATAATTGATACATCTCACTATACATTTACCAACCACAGGTTGTACCATCAGTTGCTTAAATATTCTTTGAAATTTTTAGATGAGTATAAGAAGCGAACTCACTAATGTTACCTGTCACATATTGAGATGCACCAGGATCTACTATCCATTTTGATGTTCTTATACTGGATACAGAGGCAAGAGCATGTGTATGAAGAGTACCTTTGACTTAGCGAATATAAGTAGTAGTATTGCCCTTTGATGACAATAAGAGGGATGTGTCCTCAGTCACATCATTTATTGCTTTCTGCTTCCTCTTCAACATCTTCAGAAGCTCGTGATCCTCATCAGTAAATACCACTCGTCTCATTCTCCACTACAATCAGATTTGCACGGTAGCCCCCTCTTCCACCTATTTGGCCCCCACGATTACGACCTAGCCTCTAGACTGTCATTGTTCATCAGTCTCTCTCTCCTTGGGTGGCTTTGGACAAACCTTGGTTAGGTGTCCCACCTCTCTACAGCTGTAGCACCTGCGGGTCTCCTCCTGAGCACCTATCATACCTTCACTCGAGGCGGTCAAAGCTGATCACATGCCTGGAAGTCTACTTGTCTTAGAGTGCAGCCTCATGCGACTCTCCTCCTATATAATCGCTTTGATGGCCTCATCCAATAAAGGAATCATTGTCCGGGCTAAGAGGATCAATCTCTTCTAATCAAAGTCCGGTTTCAGATGAGCCAGAAACTGTGTAGTTCTCATATGTGCAAAGTTCTTACCCTTCTTGCACCCCAGATCACTATGGCTCGACATAGGTGAGAAGTGATCAAAATCTTGCTACAACTGCTCTAGATCTATTAAGTACTCCTAAATCGACCTATCCCTCTGAACCATTGCCTCTATGTCACGCTGAATCTGAAACACCCTCATATGGTTCTCACTTCCAGCATAGATCTTCTTCAGCTTCACCAAAATGTCGCCCACCTTTCTAATGGCATCCACTGATGAGGCAATCGATGGAACCATCGAGTTGAGTAACCGGATGTAAAGCAAGACATGTGTGATTCTCCATTCTTCCCTCTTAGCACTGTCACTCTTTGGCTCGACTCTCGTCAGATATTATTCTAGTCTCTTCTCTGATAAAGCATTCTCGATATGATGCGAACAACTAAGATACGTGGCCGGTCCATCGAGCTTCAGATTCACAGGAGGGAGATCTAGCTTCATCTGCGTCGGAGCATGCACTGAGGTAATGACTCCCGTTGAGACGCTAGCTCCCTTTATGAAACTGACCAGGACCTTCAGAACTTCAGGATCCATCTTCCCTAGAAGTTCGAATCCCTTACCTTTTGCACTATCTCCATCTACTGACATTCTCAATCACAAAGATCAAGTCTAGATAGATCCCACATATCACACACGACTTTCTTCCTGCAAATTTGTGCAATCCACTTTGCCTTAGCCCGCATGAAGTCGCAACCCCTTTGTCCCACATGCCAAACCGCAGCCGCTTTAATCCTTTGCCTCCCTGCATTCAAGTGCAACTCTAGAAACGAAGGCCCTACTCCACTGACTTTCTCTTGCAGCAAGCCACAAAAGCCCTTTCTGACTGAACCCTGCGAGACGCTCTCCCGCCGAGAGTTGTGATCCAGTAAGTGCCTTCCCAATGCCTGTTTTCCGTGATGCCTTAGTTGCCGCAATTTCGTCTACGACGATTCACAAATGGAAGGAAAATCGATCCCTGGTCTCTGCACTGATTGCATCAGTCACGATTCGCGAACGGAAGAAGATCAATCCTTGGTCTTTGCATCGATTGAGTTGCACTGACGATGAAACTGATCAAGACCAATGAAGATACCGATTGGCTGCTAGGGTTAGAGCCCTGATACCACATTGAAATGATTTTGCTAAAAAACTTAATCTATTCATCGAGCAATTGGGCTTATATAGAGCCTTACAACTTTCTTTACAAATAAACCCTTGGCTTCTTCTATATTTCCTATATATAAATAAGACCCTAAATTATATATCATTCTCAACATATAGATTATTTCTTATCTGGGTTTCAAATTATGCATTAGAAAGATGAAGGATTTACATTTGCCCATACCTTTGCACGTTATGAAACGTATGCAATATTTGATTTTTCATGTATTCGTTAGCATTCGTATTAAATATAATTTATTTGATGCTGAAATTTTTAAAATTCTAGTATATAATCACCTCTCTATTTCCTTTTTCAGGTTCAGCTTTTCAACTCTTTTCCATTCTGAACGTAAGTTAAACTTCGCATAAGCATTTTTTAGCTAAAGCATACTTTTTTAAAATATGCTGACATATTCTTACATGCATGTATTTTTTATGTTCTTTAGAAGAAGAAACTTTAAGCACTCTTGGGCGATTTGTGATGATGGTATGGTTTTTTCTGCTGATGGTCGTGACATCGAGCTACACGGCGAGCTTGACTTCTTTTCTTACTGTCCAACAGCTTCCATCTTCGATAAAAGGAATTGATAGCTTGATAGCAACCAATGACCCTATCGGTTATCAAGAAGGGTCGTTCGCTTTGGGCTATATGGCTAATAGTCTTAAAATACCGCGATCGAGGCTCATTTCTTACCGGACGCCTGATGATTATGCGGAAGCTCTTTGGCGTGGCCCGAAAAATGGAGGCGTAGCAGCAATCGTTGATGAGCTTCCATATATTGAAATATTTTTGGAAACGAGAAGTGGATTTGGCATTGTTGGGCAGCCTTTTACTCGCAGTGGATGGGGATTTGTGAGTATATTTCTAGAAGCCATTATTTTTTTTACATCCTTTAGTTAGTTTGATTGGAATTAGCTAAATCTGAAAGTAGATAAGCTGCTTAATTTTATAAATAGAAATCATGATATTTCATTTGTTATACTCTTTCATTTTAGATGACCAATTTATTAGTCACGCAGTCTAACTTAAGTGTATAGTCACTAATCTTAAAGAACTAATTTCAAGGAACTGAGGGGGTAGTATTGCTCATGGATATCTGCTATATAATGTTATAGGATTTGTATCGAATTGGTATTCGCTATAATACTTAAATTTCACTACAATATTCGATCCCCTTATTGTCACAGTCCCACGCCACCCTCCCACCACTTTCTTTCCTTTTTCATGGAAGGTTTCTTAGGTTTGGGGTGATTCAAAGGGCCCAGTAGGTTCCCCTTTTTTTTTCCAAAAGATGTGAGGTTACATTGATTAGGAAATAAAATAAGAGCACATACAAATCATTCAAAATGTCACTAATTCTATATGTTATTTATATGATTTTGAGAAATTAATCTTATCCCAAAAATAATGCAAAATTAGATATCAATCTAAGATATGAACGATGAGAGATTCTGTACTAGCAGTTAGAAATAAAAAAATAAAAAAAATAAAAAAAAATTTCAAATTGGTGGCAATGGTTTGATGAATTGTCACGAGCCATGATAGTCTTGTTTTGTCTTTAGGAGCCGAAGAAGGAATCCTATCGTTCGTAATTGACCGAGTGAACGAGAGGGGGGAGACCGAGAGAAAGGAAGAAACAATAGTGAAGTTGAAGGAATAAGAAGAGGAGGGGAAGGCTAGGCTAGTTGCTTCGTGCAAGAGTCTGCCTCAAGCCCTAACTTGCGGTTTTGAATAAAGGAGAAGAAGACGCCGCTACAGAGCAGGGGGAAGAAGGTGGGATAGTTTCCAGCCTTATCTTGCGGGTTCGAGTAGGGGAGAAGGAGACGACATCGCGTGTGATGAGAAGAAAGGAGTCGAGTGGCTCATGTGCGAAGGAAGAAGATAAAGGAGGAGGCGAGGCTTTGTACAAAGTAATAGGGGAGACAACTTTGCTTGCGGGTTCGAACACAAAAGTAAATGAAGTCTCAAAGTTAAGCTAGCTGCATACAAGTAAAGGGAGGACCAAATCGAGCTCGGTTAAAATAAAAATATGATTTAGGGTTTAAGTTTTTAAATTATATAAATACAATTAATTAAATTTATTATGATATTAACGTTTAAAATTTTATGAATAAAAAACATTTATTATAAGTGGAAGATTTTGTGGGAAGGACTCTTGATCCAAGCAAATTTTGGTAAAATAAGAATTTGAGTGTTTTATTCATATAAATATTTTCAAGTAGGATTTAATGAATTTGATCAGTGGTTAAAGAAAAATTGATTTAACAAGCTTGTAAGGAGGTAAATGCTATGCTTTTATATTTGCTATTTTTATTAAATGTTATTAGAATATTTAATTTCATGGGTTGAAATTTGTGACGAGAGTTGAAAGAGAATTTGATTGAAAATATGTTGGTAGAAAACATGTAAATTAATTAGTTACTAGCCTGTTATTTTTAGAAATAGATACCTTATATATGCATTTTTAATTGATATATGTGACAGTCAAAAGAATTAAGAGAAGGAATATGCATTTACATAAGTTTTTTAAAATCGAAGTGAATAATTACTCTTTATGTGTATTAGATTTGGTTTATTTTATTTTATAAATGTTTCATTTATTTAGACTCACTAAAGACAATTTTATAAATAATAGAAAAAAATTGAAAAATGAACTGATTGTTTTATTTTTATATTGCTTTATCTTTTATTTTGCACATAAAATAAAATCTATGCTTTTAATGATTGAAAGAAATGAAATCTATTTTAAATAAAAAATAAATGTTTAAGTTTATCAAGTGTCACTCCCTATGGTACTAGGAGGGGACTATTATACTTGCACATTAAATGGTAAAGAAAATGATAAAGGTATTTTTTTATGATACAAATGGTAAATGTGTGCCTTTATAGTACAAAATGATAAAGGTTTTGATAGTGCTCCTGAGATGATTTCATTACAAAAAAAAATGAATATTCAAAGGAAATGTAAATGATAAAAAAGTATAAAAATATAAATGATTTAGATGTATAATGAAAAATTTAAACATTTTTTTAATATTGATCAGTTTATTCATTTGAATAATGTTAGACAATTGTATAAAGATTTAATGCATGCTATAGTAATAATTATTCATTAAGTTGCTTAAATTTAACATGTTTAACTGTCATTTTCAGGGTAGGTTTGAAAGATTAATATGACTGATAGGAGATGACATGTCTACAGGAGGAGAGAAACTGTGGATGATAGGTAGTGGTTTTATTGGTGCTATGTCTTTTTTTATTGTTTATACGTAAGTACTGTTAAAGACCGGATGATTTTAGGACTTTGTTAGAGGTTTGGTCTATATGTGAATTGCGGATTAGTGGCTCTTTTCTATATTAAACGTCATTTGGGATTAATTGAAATGTTTAGAAAAATCTTTCACTTTCTGATTGTCACGTTCCGTTTTAGTTAATTCTAAGTTCTCGGACTGAGTCGTGATAAAAATGGTATCAGAGCATTTAGTTTTGAATCCTGATAAAAAAGAACCATTTGGTTGATTAAATTAATTGCTAAGCATTAAATGAAGGGTTAAATAATGTCCAATTATATTCTTTGATATGTTATTTAAAAAATATGGATAATCCAGAGAAAGTTAGAGTAACATTGGTACTGATACACCTCTGAATATCTCGGTGAACACATGTTTTTGCTGAGATAATGACTTTAGTGACTCAGATGATTAGGAATTCACAGTCTCATGCTGGTTCTAGTGGCCGAGACCAGATGAACATATATTTGAAGCTGCTTTAGGCATGGTTTTAAAAATTAGATGGTCGGTTCAACTGGTTCAACCGTGAACCAGTCATTCAACCGGTTCAGTCAAAGCTCATAATCGTTTCGGCATAGAACCGAGATTGAACCGATCAGAACCGGGGTTGAATTGGAGAACCATTCTAGCTTTTAAAGAACCGGTTGGTTCAAATATTATTCAATTTTAAACTTTAATTTTGACCAAATGACCAAAAATAATATATTTAAATTAAAAGACAAAATATCGTGTCTTAAATTTTTTATTTATAATATTGTTCAAAATATTTAAAATTTTTGTCTTAAATTAGAATATATTTGTTGAATCGATAAAAATGATGTTAATATATAATTATTCTATTATTTAAATTATATTAAATAATTTTAATATTTATTACGTCATCCGGTTCAACATTCGGTTTAACTCTGGCTGAACCATTGAACATTGAACCTTTACTTATTCCGATTCAACGTTCGATCCGATTTTCACAATGTTGGTTTCAGGATATGAGGCCACATCTCTTTTACGGAAGAAGAAGTCAAGTGGATGCTGAAAATTGACTAATGAGAGTGGAGAAGAGTATAGATGTGTTGTCTTGTCCACCAGAGAGGAGGGTTATACTTGCTACTTTCGCTTTTGAAAGAGAAGCATAGAGATGGTGGCAATGACAATTGCAAGTGAAATTTGGAGGTAGAATCGAGTACTTGATACTGTGGGAGGAGTTTGTGACAACCTTTAGAGACTGGTTTGTACCACTGTCACCCAAGAGACAAATTCATTACAAGTTTTTATGGCTAGTACAGGGCGATCGTTGGATAATGTTGTACAAGGTAGAGTTCACTATATTTTTAAGGTATGCACTCTAATTGGTTCCAAATGCTGAGGAGAAGTGCCATAGGTTTGTGTTTTGGTTGAAGGATATGACTAGACAACCACTGATTCCTCTTAAGATTGAGGATTACTCAGTTTTGGTGGAGAGGGCCAAGAGGATTGAGCTGGATTTACATGCTACCCAGAGGATGAGACACTTTCAGAAATGGAGAAATTCAGAGTGATCCAGGTTTCCTCGTGACACTCAAGGTATACAATCCTTTTAGTTAGGAAATACAAGTGCTAAGAATGTTAGATCCAACAGTGTTGATAGCTGGACTATAACTAGGAAGTGTGACAGGTGTGAAAGATTTTATAAGAGTGAGTGTCTTGTTGGATCCAACACGTGTTTTTGGTGCCAAAAACACAACGAAGAATTCTCCTAGCTTGGGACAGAGGACTCCACAGACGGAGAAACTTTGGCAGGTCGAGGGAAGCTGTGTCTACATGATCAGTGTGAAATCTAGGGCACACCCAACCAAATGTTCAACCTAGGGCTTATGCACTTTCACAGCAGGAAATTAAGAATTCCTCTGATGTAATGACTTATATGTTTTATATTTACTAACTTTTAACTAAGTACATTTTTAGTTATAACAAAATTCATGTCATATCATTCATAAATCATATAATAACTAAAATGCATTAATAAGCCAACCCTATATGTTCAATGCAATAATTTTAATTTAATATACAATATATATTCAAAGCTAAATAGGACGCAATGGAGAAAAAGGATTCAGGTATGTTGAGATATAAAGGCAAAATTTTTGTTTCTGATGTTGATAATTTGAGAAGGAAAATTCTAGAGGAGGCACACTTATTTGGTTATGCTATTCACCTTTGGAGTATTAAAATTTATCATGATCTAATGGAAATATTTTGGTGGTTGGGATTGAAGAAGAGTGGCGGAATTTGTGGCTAAGTGTCATATATGTCAACTAGTGAAGACAGAACATCAACATCCAGGTGATTAATTACAACCTTTTCCTTACTCCATAATGAAAATGAGAGGAGATTGCTCTGGACTTGGTGATTGAATTTCCCAGGTCACGACAGAGTTGTGATGCTATTTGGGTAATTGTTGATAGATTGACTAAATCTGCTCATTTCTTGCCTAGATAGATCTCATTGAGAAATTAGCCAAATTATATGCTGGTCAAATTGTAATGTTCTATGGAGTGCCAAAGCCTTTTATTTCAAATAGAGATA